AATGCTTATGAAGATCCATGGTATTTGTTAGGCTTTTTCCTCATGACATCCAGCACAAAGCCTCAGTGGTATTCCTATTAGGACAGTGTTCAGGATTGGAAGAACCATAAGAGAGATGATGCCACACTAAATCAGCCAAATAACTTTAATAGATCCTTACTATTTCTGCTTTCACTTTGAAAAAGGAACAGGCCTGACCCATTTGTGTTTGTGTTTTTACATGACTGCAATTATGTTTATTATCATATTGGTGATTTTATTTTTTAATGTAGAAAAACTTCTGACCTCTGTTCTAAATATAGACATAAGCCTCTTACTTTAGACCCAGCTGATCCCAGGTTGTAGTTTTTGAGGAAACAGAGGAATGTGATTTCTGTTTATTTTCAAATACTTTTAATAACTATGAAAGAATCTGGTTAATCTGGGAATCTTTCTGCTAAATCAAAATATCCTGAGGATGAAGTTCTCACCATATTCTGTTCCACCACAACATGACACTCTATTGAGAGTCCCATGCTGAGCAAGTACCTATATGGCCCAGTATTCATTTCTTTGTGAGCCACGTTGTTCTTTTCCTGATAATTACTTGCCTGAAACTGAACCATGCTTCAGGAAATTATTTACCCAGGTAGCTCTCTATTCAAAAGGCCCCACATTAGCTATCTCTTTACAGTAAATGATAAAATAGTTACTTGTTTCTCTTCATAATCCCATGATCAATATAAAGCTGTCATTTTAATTGAACAATGGTTTGTGTGAGAACAGCTTTAGCACATAAAATGTTTAATTAAATTGTACATACTTCCATGCATGAATATTGTGAACAAGGAGGAAAACTATTCGGTTAACTTTTCCATCATTTATTAACTCCCTGATCAATATTAATAGTTAGAAGCTTCCTAATTTATAATATTAAAAGACTAGATAAATGGGAATATTTGCTGTACTTGATGTGCCCTGCAGACATCCGTGCTTCAGTCATATACAAGGTAAAGCCATGATGTATTTAATGATTTGTGGAGTCTCAGCGAATCCCAGTACAACAGACAGGACACTTAACCATAGTTTTCTTATTTTTAGATATTTGTATTAAAATATCTTCAGAAGAATGTACAAATTACATTTGTACAAATTACAGTTATTATAAACATACATGTAATTTCTGTGGTGATAATTGCTAGAATAAGAGCTGCTGACTGGCTTGCTCCTGGTTCATGTTGGGCAAGCTATTTTATACAAGCCAGATCCAGCTGCCTAGGGATAGTGCTCAAAGTCCATGATGTTCATGGTTGTGCTGGCCTTGTCACATCATAAAACAGCATTTCATGGCACTGCTCTCTACATTCTAGCTTTTAACATCTATCCATCTCATCTTCCGTGAAATAACTTCAACCTTGGAAGAGGTGTTATCAATATTTCATTTAGTGCTTAGCATTCCATAGTTGTCTGTATCTTGGACCTAAATGGAGTGTCTTCATCAAATCCCTACCACCTGGATGCAAGGATCAGTGTGGAAGGTATTGAGAAATATTATGAGAGTCTCTGGGGGAATGAAATCACCACAAAAATTGTGCTACTTTCCAGACTCAACAGGACTGACATACATTTGAACTCAAAGAGAATGTTACAGAATGATCAAGACTGGCACAGGAGCAAGCTATGTGAGGACCCAGTCCAAGGAAAATAATGTAACACAAGTTCTCACCCCTAATAAAGAAGCTGTTTCTATATGACAACAACTAAAGTAAACATTAACTCTTCCAATAGAAACTCTGTGGTACACACCACACCGAAGGGCAGGCCTCATACTAAGCAATAAATTGTCAACATAAAAAACTCAGTTTTTCTTCCAATGAATTAGTTACTATATTAACTTATAACTTGTGTACATGATGAGAATATGTCAATCTGAGAACCCAGCAGTGATGTGGGAAAATATGAAACAGTAAAATGGATGCTATGTAGGATTTGCTATCAACCTACTTACAAGTAAGATATACAAAGTAGAATTTAGCTAAGGAAAGACTGGCACTAATCTGACTCTAAGATTAGTACTATTATGCCCTGGACTGTCAGAAAAGTTTGTAGCATAACTGAAGTTGAGATTTGCTGGGCAACCACTTCTGTAAATGATTTTTCATGTGGACTGACTTCCAATGTGACTATTCCCACAACAAATATTATCATATTGATTTATAACCATCCTTTGGGCTCTTTCCTAAATTAAAGATTATGCCTCTATAGGGCATATCTGGGGGCCAAGGCAAATGATACCTATATTAACTTCATTTCAGTATAGTTCCAGGGGGTCAACATGAATGAATATTAGGAAAAAACATCATGGGTATAATTAAGATATTCTTGAAATATCTCTGCCATATACCAGTTTCCCCAGGTGGCTAGACTTACAGTTTTTGTCTATATTTATATTGATCAAAGTGTTACCTGGGACCTGAAAAACACTTGAGGATGGTACCATGTGTAGACTGTAGTCTATGTACACTGGTAAATCTTCCTCTCTGAAAGACAGATCTCTGCATCTCTTGTGTGCATTAGTCAGAATGAGTCGTGTACTACTATTAAAAAGTTTTTCTTCTTCCCGAGGTTCCAAAGGAGGAGCAGAAGGAGGGAGAACATGACCAAGGAAGTCAGGACCAGGAGGGCTGCACCCACCCACTGAGACAGTGGGGCTGATCTATTGAGAGCTCACCAGGGCCAGCTGGACTGGGACTGAATAAGCATGGGATGAAACCAGACTCTCTGAACATGGCGGACAATGAAGGCTGATGAGAAGCCAAGGACAATGGCACTAGGTTTCAAACCTACTGAATGAACTGGCTTAGTGGGAGCCTAGTCTTTTTGGATGTTCACCTTCCTGGACCTGGATGGAGGGGGGAGGACCTTGGACTTGCCACAGGGCAGGGAATCCGGACTGCTCTTCCGACTCTAGAGGGAGGGGGCATGGAGTGGGGGAGGGGAGAGGACTGGGGATAGAGGGAGAGGAGTGGGGGGAGAGCAAGAGGAGTGGGAGGAGGGGGAGGGAAATGGGAGGCGGGGAAGAGGCAGAAATTTTTTCAACAAAAAATATAAATAAAAAGAATTGTATTGCAGTTCTACAAAGTATCCTAAAAATTGATTTTATTTTTTTCACCTGCAATGCAATTGAACTGTATATATTTACAAGATATTTGTTTTCCATTCATCATTTCAGGAACATCTAGGCTGATTTATACCATAAACATTGTGAATACATTTCTAATTTCCAATTAAAAGTTTTGTTCTTTGAGAAGTCATCACACTCATTTCCATTGTATCTGCTTAAGTTTTCCACTTTATACATATTGGTGGAAGTTGCTGTCATTGATTTTCTAAAGATTATTCATTTTTACTTGGTTGAGAAGAAACATCAAATTTTAGTTAGTTTGACATTACTTGATGATATTGGATATTTTTAAATGTTTGCTAGAAAATAGGAAAAATATTTGTAATGTGTATGTTTGATGGATATTGGTGACTAGAATACATAATAAACCAAAGCATTAACCAATAAAAACAAATAAAAACTCAACATATCGAACAATTAACCACAGATTATTCTCTGATTAAGAAATATGAATGGCCAATATGTATAGTAAACAATGTTCAATAACTTTAGACATCAGAGAGCAAAACATGTGTCTTTAATTTATTTCATTCAAAGCAGAAAGTTTTTCATCAAGAAAGTAAATGTAAAATAATGGTGAAGTTACAAAGAAATTAACATTTACAATTTCTGATAGAAAGGTGCAATGGTACAGAAATTGTAGAACTCAATACAGAAGTTCTTAAAAGTTAGAAATAAAACAATGTATTCAATTATACTGCTACTAGTAAGCCTACTGAAGGGCTATGAAAGTTAACACATTGTATTCACACCTCACTAATTAATTACATAAATCCAAGGAGCGGGTACAGAAATTGGACAGCAAGGGCATTTTTTTTGTCTCCTTAACATGCTTTGTGTTTAAATGCAGGAAACAAGCCAGACATCCTATGGACTTGTTATGTTTTTCGCTGAGGTTTCCAAAGCAAAATGGATACAGAGATGTAGTTTATTTCTTTGGATATTAGTTACTTTCCTGAGAAAACAATAGAAAGAGTAGTGACACAATACATAGGTTCCAAAATCACATGAAGTTGGTATCTTTTGAAGAGAATACATTCAACAAGTGAAAAATTATAATTCAAACATTCTCTGCTCATGTAGTATGTCATGATTTCAAAATTCCTCATTCTGTGACTTATTAACCTAACACCATAGAATGTCATATTTTCAACGAGTGAAGTTAAATGAAAGGACATCTGTATGTGGCTTAGAGTCCAGGCAGGAGACTTATTGATTGTCCCAGATGTGGAAACTTTGCCTCTTAAAAGATCTTAGAATTAAAGGTGAATTAATTCCAAAGCATGATAAATACATAACACCAAAATGTTAAAATAGTCGAACAAGTGTAAAATTGGATTTCAATATGCTTTGTCACATATCAAAGGCTAAATCTGGAGAGCAATCATACTTCTTCAATGTATATTTGTCAAAAAAGAGGATAAAGTCTAGGAATTTGTGCATCCTACACTACTGAAGTAAGATTTTAACAATGGTTCTTGATTTTAATAATTATATTCAACATTAATTCAGCTTTATATCAATACTTTAAAAATATTCAAAATAATATTTTATATCTGTGAAACAGAGTTTTCGACATGCTTAAATCATAAAATTTAAAGAGTTAACACATCTACAAAGGATAAAATACATAATTGTAACAGTTACTGATACTGAACTCATCTAGTATTTTTTTGTTATGAACTAAAAACTGCACCTTCTATTGTTTTAACCATAGAAATGATTATATAGCAGGAAGGAAGAAATGCAAATTGTGCTTCCCTCTACTCATGAAAACCAGCCCAGTCCTGACTCTGTCACTCTAGCAGGGGAGCCCGGTCCTGAGTTCCCCCTTCTTCCCACTCAGTGATCAACACTGAACAAAGACCTCTCATCATGAAGTTGTGGTTAAACTGCATATTCCTTGTAAATCTTTTAAAAGGTAATTTATGGGAAGAAGATATGCTGAGTATGTGGGTGCATGAGTAAGAAGTGGGCATGAGTAAGAGGGATGGTGGGTGTGTGTAACATTTTCCTCACTGGAATTCTCTATTATTGAAGGTATCCAGGGTGAGGTGCAGCTGGTGGAGTCTGGAGGAGGCTTGGTGAAGCCTGATGGTTCCCTGAAACTCTCCTGTGTAGCCTCTGGATTCACCTTCAGTGATTATTATATGCACTGGGTCCGCCAGCCTCCAGGAAAGGGACTGGAGTGGGTTGCCCTTATTAGAACTAAAGCTAATAGTTACACAACAGAATACAGTGCATCTGTGAAGGGCCGGTTCACCATCTCCAGAGATGATTCCAAAAACACCCTCTACCTTCAAATGAACAGTCTGAGAGCTGAGGACACTGCTACTTACTACTGTACAAGAGGCACAGTGAGGGGCCTTCAGTGTGAGCCCATACACAAGCCTTCATGCAAGATTGCTCAGAACCAAGAGTGGGTGTACAGGGCCAGAGAAACAGACAGGATGTATTATTGCTCCATACACTATTTCTCAGTGAAAGATTTATAATGCTTTATCAACCACAGAAGTCTCTACATTGAAAAGTGGCAACTTTGTCTCTTCAAACTAAATATTTCATTAATCTCTGAGAAATTTTATTTGTGATTATAAATTTTTAATTGAAACCGTTTTACTTTTCCTTTTCATTTAATTTTGGCATATGCTTTTATTATATAGAAATGTGTGGACTGAGATTTGTGCTCTTTAAAACATGGTGTACATTTTTTCAGGTCTTCTTGGCTTAAGTGTTTCTATCAAATATTTAGGTATTATTCCGATAAACCTGCCTTAAACTGAGTTGACCCCTCCTGTAACTTTCAATACCATTTCCTTATTTTGTGGTTTTAATATTCTAGCTGTACTTTATCATGGGGAGTTTCTTTCCTGTTCCAGTTTGGTGTCCTACCTGTAGTCCACTTTAGCCTAGACAGGCATCTTTTTCTATATGATTAGGACATTTTTTCTATGTTTGTATTGAAAATATTGTTTTTGCCTTTGCCTTCATACTTTTGCCTTGTCTAACTCCATTAAACAAAGAATACGTACATCACTTCATGCTGTCCCAAAGAATTCACTTGGGGCTGGAGAGATGGCTCAGTGGTTAAGAGCACTGACTGCTCTTCCAGAGGTCCTGAGTTCAATTCCCAGCAACAACATGGTGGCTCACAACCACCTATAATGATATCTGTTACCTTCTTCTGGCCTACAGGCAGGATACTGTATAAATAAATAAATAAATCTTTTTAAAAAAGAATTCCCATACTCTACTCATATATACTCTAATATTTTCTAATGGGCCTTCACTGAGTGACTCAATAACTTGACATTACACTCCAGTCTTGATTCTTAGATTTTTGACATGCTCCATTTTATTGTTGTATCCTTCTACAGTTTTTTAACTATTAATGTTTTCATTTTCATAATTATTTTAGTTTTTCATTCAGCAATTCTTAACCTTATTTTAATCTGCTTATAACTCAGGTTTCTTCTTAATTTCATTCTAATCAGTCTTATTTTGTTGTTATTGATGAAAATAGTGAAAATGATATTCTAGTCTTGGTGTGTACATATCCTCTTTTTGTTGCCGGAGCATAGTTATAATAATAGCTTGGAAAAAGTTTTGCTGGAAAATCACTCATGTAAACTTCATTGTTAATTACTATGATTTTACTACCTTTAGACTGGGATGAGGTTGTGATCTTGGCTATTTCTGTTATTTTTATTAAGATAAACCTTTTGAGAACAGAAGAAATTTCTGTAAAAATGAGTCTGTCAACCTTTAAAATGGGGTTGTCTACCTTCAGATCTTAATTTAATAATGATATAAATTCAGAAGTTCTATATTGGCTCTTTTTTATCCAGCTTTTCAGAGTAAACATTTTCAAAGTAATTTCCATTGATGTCTTGAATTTCAGTGGAACCTGTTGTTATTACATCATTTGATTAGAGGCTTATCTATTTCAAATGTGTTATGTCATTCTTTGTGTTAATTTTTGTATATTCTTTCAGTGTAAGTGGTTTTAATATTCAGAAGAGTCATGACAGGTTTGAGATATTGCTTTATTTTGAAGAATTGACATCCAGGACTACTGTTTACATAAACAGACACTATCCAAGGATAAGAAGACCAATAGATTGTACTCTTGTACCTTGACAACTTGTGGTTTCTTCATGTCTGATTGCCCTACTCTTTCGTGTGTCATGGTGAGTGACAAAAGACACAGGGCCTTTGAGATGTTGAGGGGAGATAAGTCAACATAATGAATGGGAAGTTTCTCTTTTTATTTTAATTTATTTATTTATTAAAGATTTCTGTCTCCTCCCCGCCACCGCCTCCCATTTCCCTCCCCCTCCCCTGATGAAGTCCCCCTCCCTCATCAGGTTGAAGAGCAGTCAGGGTTTCCTGACCTGTGGGAAGTCCAAGGACCACCCACCTCCATCCAGGTCTAGTAAGGTGAGCATCCAAACTGCCTAGGCTCCCCCAAAGCCAGTACGTGCAGTAGGATCAAAAACCCATTGCCATTAATATAATTAGAAGCTAGAGGATGAACAATTCTAGAGAAGTCAGGTAGTTTTATTTTTTCACTTAGAGGTAAGAACTTGGAGAAGTCAGAAAGGTATTGGTGAGTAAAAGCAATGTCTACTTAGCAGTTTGGAAAAGCTGGGGCAAGAAAAAGCCTGCTGAAGATGTTGGGCAAATGACAGAGAGGAAAGGGTAGGCGGGGTCACAGAAAGACTGAGGCTTGTGAGAATGGAAGCAGCTGGACTACTTGGTGGTTCAGGGAAAGCAGGTTTCTAAGGCCAGGTCAATTATTTCTGTGAGCAAAAATAAAGCTTAGCTGATGGGACAAAATAAGTACTTGAGGATCCCCAGGGCAGAAGGATATGGTATGGAGAGGAATAGGTCTATTGTTATCTTTTTTTTTTTTAGTTTATGAAAAGGTTAGTTTCTTTTTTTTAACTTTTTTTTATTGAGAAAAGGAAAAAAAAAACAAGTTTCCTCCTCCTCCCAGCCTCCCATTTCCCTCCCCCTCCTCCCACCCTTCTCCCACTCCTCCCACCCTTCTCCCCTTCCCCCCACACCTCTCCCCCTCCCTCTCCAGCCCAAAGAGCAGTCAGGGTTCCCTGCCCTGTGGTAAGTCCTAGGTCCTCCCCCCTCCGTGCATTTCTAGGAAGGTGAACATCCAAACTGGCTAGGCTCCCAATAAGCCAGCACATTACGTAGGTTCAAAACCCCGTGCCATTGTCCTTGGGTTCTCATCAGCCCTCATTGTTCGCCATGCTCAGAGAGTCCAGTTTTATCCCATGCTTTTTCAGTCAGAGTCCAGCTGGCCTTGGTGAGCTCCCAATAGATCAGCTCCACTGTCTCAGTGGGTGGGTGCTCCCCTCATGGTCCCTACTTCTTTGCTCATGTTCTCCCTCCTTCTGCTCCTCATTGGGACCTTGGGAGCTCAGTCCAGTGCTCCAGTGTGGGTCTCTGTCTCTGTCTCCATCCATCACCAGATGAAGGTTCTATGATGATATGCAAGATTTTCGTCAGTATTGCTCTAGGATAGGGTCATTTCCGGTTCCCTATCCTCAGCTGCCCAAGGAACTAACTGGGGACCTCGGCTTGGGCATCTGGGAGCCACTCTAGGTTCAAGTCTCTTGCCAACCCTAAGGTGGCTCCCTTAACTAAGAATTGTGCTTCCGTGCTCCCCTATCCAACCTTCCTTTATCCCAATCCTCCTTTTTCCCCAAGTTCCCCCCATTCTCCCATTCTCCCTTTTCTCTCCCCATCTCCCCTTACCCCCACCTGTCAGAATGGCTAAAATAAAAGTCTCCAAAGATAGCCTTTGCTGGAGAGTCTGTGGAGGTAGGGGAACCCTCATCCATTGCTGGTGGGAATGCAATCTTGTGCAACCACTTTGGAAATCGTTGTTTTGGTTTCTCAGGAAATTCGGGATCAACTTACCCCTGGACCCAGCAATACCACTCCTGGGAATATACCCAAGAGATGTCCTATCATATGACAAGAGCATTCTTTCAACTATGTTCATAGCAGTATTATTTGTAATAGCCAGAACCTGGAAACAACTTAGATGCCCTTCAATGGAAGAATGGATGAAGAAAGTGTGGAATATCTACACATTAGAGTACTATGCTGCGGTAAAAAACAATGACTTCTCAAATTTTGCATGCAAATGGATGGAAATAGAAAACACTATCCTGAGTGAGGTAACCCAGACCCAAAAAGATGAATATGGGATGTACTCACTCATAATTGGTTTCTAGCCATAAACAAGGGTCACGGAGTCTACAATTGGTGATCCCAAAGAAGCTAAGTAAGAAGGTGAACCAAAGGAAAAGCATATAGTTTTCCTCTTGGATATGGGAAGTCTATTGTTATCTTTAGGAGTTAAAAAAAAAGTGTTGATGGAGACTTTATGGGGAGCACACTGCATTGATTCATAGGGTGGCCAGCTCTGAAAGAGCTAAAGTTTAAATAAAGCTCTTGAATCTGTTTTTATTTTGATCAAAGAATAATCTTAGTATTTATTTTCATGTAATGAAGATCTTTTATTTTCTTCAATAAAACTTTGAGCATTATGCATGGTATATTGTACAGCTGAGCTATGGCCTCAGGCACATTTGCCTTATTCAATTTTATGTGTCTATTAATTATTCACTGAAACCTTTAAAATCTGCTATAAATTAACATATTTTAGTTTTTCAATGTATAATATCCTAGGAATTTATTTAATAAATTCTGCCAAGACCAAAGATAAATTTAATTGTCAAAAGCATAACAGAGTAAGACTGAAAACTTTTATTTATATGATAACTATAATCTCATACTAAATATGTCTTTTTTCATCCCTTCTATTTATGTTTTGAGACAGAGTTTCATATCATCGAAGCATAACTCAAACATACAATTTACTGCTCTACCTCTGTCCTGGGAGTGAACACAGGGTTTCAGGCATGCTCACAATTTTTCTAACAACTGTGCTATATCCCCAGCACAATAACTAATAATTTGATGCTATAAATATCACCTTGATCTCTACTACATCTCAGATATCTGCACTATTAATTGTTTCCCCCTAGGTGCCTACTCCTGAACTCATGACATAGCAGGGAGATAGACAAATAATGTTCTCTCTTGTGCAATAAAACCAACTCTGAATCTTCAGTTCTGACAGATACACTTAGGTCTGCACTCACAAGTCCTTCCATAAAGTGATCATCATTGAACATAGAACATCTGACATGGAGTTGAGGCTAAGATAAGTTTGGCTAGTTGCTTTTTTTTCAAGCTTTCTCTGTAGTTTTGGTGGCTGTCCTGGAACTAGCTCTTTTATACCAGGGTGACCTTGAACTCACAGAGATCTGACTGCCTCTGGCTCCCCAGTTTTGGGATTAAAGGCCTGTGCCACCACCACCCAGCTTCCTACTTGCTCTTTTAAAAGGTAATCTATAGGTAAGGACAGATACTCAGTGTGTGAATGGATGTGAGTGAGAGTGACAATACACATTTATGACATTTAATGACAGAGTTTGCTGTTTTCAGGTGTCCAGTGTGAGGTGCAGCTACTGGAGTCCAGGGAAGTCTTGGTGCAGCCTGGAAGACTTTTTCAGTTTCTGGATTCACATCAGTGACTCCTTTATAAACTGGCTTCTCCAGGATACTAGGAAGAGGCTAGAGTGGGTTCCTCAAATTGGAACAAAATGTTAGAATTATTGAGTGTCATATACAAAGTTTATGAAAGGTAGATTCACCATTTCAAATTATGATTTCAAATGCAACATCTACCTGCAAATGAGTAGTTTAGGATCTGAAAACTTCTATTAGTCACTGTGTCGGAGACATAGTGCAGGGCTTCAGGTAAGATAGGAACTCTGATACAAACTTTCATATAGGATTGCTCAAAACCAGCAGGGAATAAAGAACTCACATTGAGAACAGAGATATAGCAGGGACAGATGTAGAAACTATTGTGTTCTGATTCTGAGGTCTTGGCTTTCATTTCATCTAATGATAGCTTAAAATTCACTCTGCATGTGTAGTCTGTGTACTTCTGGGAAAATACAGCTTTGTTGTTATGCAATTTAAAAATATATAACACAGAATCTAACAGAAACTAAATGCAGAAAATAACCTCTAACTGCTGAAATGACACTGTTGAAATTCATATGCTTATGAAAATCCATGGTATTTGTGAGGCTATTTCTTCATTGCATTCAGCAAATCCTCAGTGATATTCCTACAGGACAGTGTTTAGGATTAGAAGAACTTTAAAAGAAGTGATACTACACTCAATCAGCCAAATAACTTTTATAGGTCCCTAATATTTCTTCTTTCACTTAGAAATAGGAAAAGACCTGATCTATTTGTATTCGTGTTTTTCACATGATTGCATTACTTAATCATCATATTGTTTATCAATATGTTTATCATCATAATGGTGGCTTTATTTTTTAATATAGAAAACTTCTGACCTTTGTTCTTAACATAGATGTAATCCTCTTACCTTAAGCCCATCTGAGTCTAAGTTATAGATTTAAGGGAACTTGAGGAATGGTATTTCTGTTTCTTTTCATATACTATTAATACCTGTGATTCTTATCTGGTTAATCTGGGAATAGTTCCGTTAAATCAAAATATCCTGTGGAATAAGTAATCACCATATTTTGCTCCACCACAACATGCCACTTTTGTGAGAATGGCAGGGGTGTCTCATGCTAAGCAAGGGACAATACATCTCTGTTCTCAGTTCTCTGTGAGCCATGTTGTGCTTTTACCTGATATTACTTTTCTGAAACTGATCCATGTTTCAGAAAATTGTTGACCTATGACTCTCTATTCAAGAGACCCCACACTAACTCTATCTTTAGAGGAAATGAAAAAATAATTACTGGTTCTCCTTTCATCTCCCAATTATAAATATAAAGTTGTAATTTTCATTGAACAATGATTTGTGTGTGAACAGTTTTAGCACATAAAATATTTGATTAAATGGTACATACTTCCAAGCATGAATATTGTGAACAAGAAGGAAAAATATTCAGTTCATTTTAGCCATTTATTACTAACTCCTTGTTCAATATTAATTGTCAGAAGTTTCCTCATTTATAATATTAAAAGACTAGATATGTGGGAATCTTTGCTCTTCTTGATGAGGCCTGCAGATAATCCTGCTTCAGTCACACAGGAGGAAAGGCCATGCTGTGTTTAATGGTTTATAGAGTCTCGGAGGATCCCAGTACAACAGACAGGACACTTAACCCTAGATTTGCTATTTATAGATATTCATATTAAACTATTTTCAGAGGTGTCTAAATGCAGGCAGGCCTGAAGGTCCCCACAAGAGAGTGTGGGCACCTTCAGCTTGTGCTGCAGGGTCTCTTGTGTTATACTTAACCCCGCCCTGCCCCCACATTAGCCACTTTGTTCAAGGTGTCCTTGGGCTACCAGGCATCCCCGTTTCAGTGCTGAGGAGTTCCATTCAGATTGGTGAGTGTGTGCTATCGCGGGGAGGCCTGTCCCAGAAAAGAGCACAGCCACCCCTCCCCCAGCTCCTGCTGCAGGGGTGTCTTTGGTACACATGACCCAGCCTCCCCCAAGCCTGCCCTATTGTCTGCAAGTTCCTTTGCTCAGGGGCAGCATCCTGCTACTGCACCCAGGCTATCCACCCAGAGGGTGATACCAGGCATCCCTGTTTAAGTGCTGAGGAGTTCCATTCAGACAGGAACAGCTCCTGCTCCAGCACTGAGGAGATCCACACAAAAAGTTAGTCACAGCAAAGACTGGACCAAGAAACCAGGACTCTCCTGTCTCCATTTGAAGGAAGAGATGGGTAGGTGCCAATGCAAGAATTCCTCCAACAACCTGAAAGACAATATGGCATCACCAGAATCCAGGGATCCCGAAACAAGAAGAATTGAACACCCTAATCCAGAAGAAATAGAAGAAATCGACTTTAAATGGAACTATATGAAAATAATAGAGGATTTTAAACAAGAGGTGAAAAATTGTCATAAAGAAATAGACATGACAAACAAAAAGGTAGAGGAAATGCATAAATCTCTCAAGGATACTAAAGAAAAAGCAATCAAACAGGTAAGGGAAATGTTCAAGACTTGAAAAATGAAATGGAGGTAATGAAGAAAACACAAACTGAGAGAAGGCTGGTTATGGAAAATCTGGGTAAACGTACAGGAACTACAGAGACAAGTATTACCAACAGAATACAAGAGATAAAAGAAAGAATCTCAGACACTGAAGAAACTATAGAAGAAATAAACTCACTGATTAAAGAACAAAACAGATCCAACAAATTCTTAACACAAAACATCCTGGAGTGCACCCACCCACTGAGACAGTGGGGCTGATATATTGGGAGCTCACCAAGGCCAGCTGGACTATGACTGAAAAAGCATGGGATAAAATCAGACTCTCTGAACATGGCGAGCAATGAGGGCTGATGAGAAGCCAAGGAGAATGGCACGGGGTTTTGATCCTACTTCATGCTCTGGCTTTGTGGGAGCCTAGCCAGTTTGGATGTTCACCTTCCTAGACATGGACGGAGGGGGGAGGACCTTGGACTTTCCACAGGGCAGGGAACCCTGACTGCTCTTTGGGCTGGAGAGGGTGAGGGAGAGGAGTGGGGGGAAGGGGAGAAGGGTGAGAGGAGGGGGAGGGAAATGGGAGGCTGGGAGGAGGCTGAAACTTTTTTTTTTCTTTTTCTCAATAAAAGAAAAAAAAAGAAAAAAAAACATCCAGGAACTCTGGGACACCATGAAAAGACCAAAACCTAAGAATAATAGGGGTAGCAGAAGAGAGGAATTACAGATCAAAGGCCCAGAAAATATTTTCAACAAAATTATAGAAGAAAACTTTCTCAACCTAAGGAAGGATATTCCTATGAAGGTACAAGAAGCATACAGAACACCAAAGAAACTGGATCAAAAGAAAGCATCCCAACGCAATATAATAATCA